GTCAAACTTTTATTCATTTTTAGACATATACTATTATTAGTTACAGATTTATAGAGATAATATAATACTGGCAAAATTCTTCGCACTCGTTGTCGAAGAAATGTAAATATTTTCTACTTTTTAAATACTAAATAATTCATTAATATAATATTAAATAATTATATATTACATTTTAATAGATATAGTACCCTATTCTCAGCGAAATGTATAGGTACCACTTTCACAACAGTAAATACTATACGATAAACGCCTTTAACTACCCTATTAGAGTTTACAATTGTAAGCATGTTTATTTATTTTTATTTACTAGCTTTTATATAATAACTCCAAACTAATATCAATACATTCTTAACCGTTATTCGAAAACATTAAACGTATACTGGCCATACAACGGACGGCACTTGAGGAATGCACCCAGTAAATCATCAGCACGGTACTAAAGCACTTCTTTAGTGCCCCAAGTAGGATCACCATATTTTACCTTTTTCAAAACAACAACTTTGATATACTGAAGGTGGTGTATTTTATCTGAAAAGAAAAAATAGAGACATTAATGTCGGATAATTTAACAATAAATAATTATCAATTATATACTCGAATTGATTTAGAATTTACAATTTTCACATGCAAACTATTCTATGTAGAAATTATTCAAAATAAATTAAAACAATTAACTATTTTCGCCATATTCATATATATTTTATGAGTTTTAAATATTGCAAAATGCACTTAAGCTCTTGTATAAGTAACAGGTAATTAATACATTGCTATATTACTTACATTTGATAAATAGAAAGTCAATACACTAAAATATACCTATTCTTTCCTAAAATATAGTCTACCTATCTCTTAATAATACGTTTACCAGAAGAACCCATAAAGGGATTACATTTTCTATGACTTTAATTATACTTTTCCAAAGATTCTTGCAAATAATTGTCACCATAGCTCTACATGAGTGTTGCCGTAAGCTACAAGTGACATTGTCCCTCGTAAAGTGGTAATTTTGTTGTAACTAAATCCACAGGCCTACACTATAACACTATCTTTATCTAAAATGCTTTTAAAGCGCTAAGAAGCCTCCTATCTACGATATTACTCTCTAATACGAGTGCGAGGGACAGAATTGTCCAAATAGATATATTGCCGTGATTTGTATACGTACCTACTATCTGCTGTCATAAAAATGTCTGGTGATCGTCTCTGTGGTTTATTATTGTTTTAGACGGTATTCGTCTACTGAATTCTTTTAACAAATACCACTGTTCGTTTATTTAGTTAGAGCCAATATTTGTAGTTTTGTACCTACCTATATTTCTTCGATGTATAGTTGAGTCATAAATAAATAGCATATTAACTAACTTTAAATAAATAAAATAATATAACTTGTTATATAGGTAAGTACTACTTACTTATTTGCATAGTCTATTACGTAAGTAGATGCAACTACTTAACGAAATTGAAAACCACACAATGTACCAGCACCGTTCATTAATCAGGCTTAGATACCCGGATTATTTACGAGCAAATCTAAAACGTACGGAATTTAATTTCATTAGGGGATTTTAGTGACACCATGTTGTCACCCGCTGCGCCAGGGCACGCACAGCGACGTATTTCATCCAGCTGTCGAGCGGCGACCAATCGTGTTCGAGAGTCGGCAGCGCGTTCAAATTTTAAAAATGGTGGAGATAATTTTCGTTGTATATTATTTGTGACAGGTCGTTATTTTGAGTTTTTATCGGCTCGCTTCGTGCTTTCAATATTTCTTGAAGATATCTCTCGATGATTTCTTTTGGTTTGAGTTTTTTTGTACTCTCTTTTTATTGTTAATATATTTCTTAACAGAATAGGAAAAAATATACAAATAGATTTCTACAGATTCTAAAGAAAATTTTTACATAATTATAAGAAATTACTGACGGCAACGAAGTCTTAAACGAGCGAGAAAAATCGGCAAGTTAACTTACGTAACATAATTTGTTATAATTAGTTCTCAATTAGCAAAGATATATATTAATTCCTAGAATATGTGAATTAATATCCTCTTCTTTCATGAAAATAGATTAAAAATAAAATAATTTGATCATAAATATACCCTATAGTTACAAGTAAAAAATATAAAAGTTACAAGTAAAAAACATATTAAAATTTTATTTTTCTTTTACTAACATGCACGTATGAATTAGGATAAAAAAAATTCTTCTCTGTTAATCATAGGCTATATGTGTGTGGTAAATTTTATTTAATTCTGTCGAGTCGTCTATGTATCAAACATAATTACAAATTGTCATATTAGCAAAATAATAAACACTATAAAAAATATCATATACCTACATAAACCATACCTACCCATAACTACCTACTTTATAGATATAAAGATTGCTGTTCTATATATTTTCTCTCCAGCAAAGTCAACTACTAAAAAGTTCCATAAAACAACAATTTCAAACGGGCCATTTCGCACGGGAAAAACAGCATCCCGAATGGAAAGGGGTGGTGGGTCCCCGAGGGGGGTGGGGTCCAAAGTGAAGCCTGCTGTTTTATGTCGCGGAATTACGACTTAGACGTTTCAAACAATAACACCCCCCATAAATACGGGCCGATTCCTTCACGCGTCATAGCGCAGATTGTTTTCCTTAGCCCTCCCGAATTTCGTTAAAAAATATTATAGGCATAGACATAAGAATAAAGTCCTTATTATTATAGTATAGGAATAAAATCATTATCATTCTTATATTAACCGTTATCTGTCCACTACTGAACATAAGCCTCCTCCATAGACTGCCATAAGGAATGGTTCTAAGCCACATACATCCACTGATTCTCTTCAATGTATTTAATGTAACAATTAAAATAAGAATTTTGTCTCACAAAAAAAAAACAACTTCAATTGTGAGAAAACTAGTAATTTTGATTTAAAAGCTAAACTACAGAACCGTTTTTGATAAAATTTCTATTAGACCAATTTGTAAGTATATCCTTTCAGATAAAGAAGAATTTTCCAAATCGGTTTACACGAGATTATAATGTAACAAACATAAAAAAATTAAACCGAATAAAGAACCTTCTTTTTGAAATCGTTGAAAATATAAATAAATTCGTATAATAATTTAATGCTTTATACATATGTATGTAAATGTAATAATTTTGTAATAACATAGAGCGCACCTAAGCGTGTACTGGTTATTTTCAGTTGTATTGTTTTGTTTTTTAAGTTACCATTGCTCATTTTTATGCAATTAAATTCACATTTGTTATTTTTATTGTCTTATAATATTCATCATAATATGTTAGATTCAAATCTACTAACTTTCTTATATACAAACAGTATTTCAAAGGTCGATTGAGACGTAAAAGATTTTCGACGGTCCTGTTTTTCGTTGTAGCTAAAAATAAATTTTCATGTAAAATAAAATTTACTAAAAACTGTTTTTTTGTAATGTGATATTTTTCTATTCTGTAATACTAAATAACCAGTTTATAGATTTTAGTCATTTCGTGCTGTAAGTAAACGCGAACGGGTTCCCTCGCCAGCAATTTTCCGATAACGCGGCACGTGTCATGGATCTCAGGAATTTCCCGTTTCGGGCAACAACAAGGCTCTGGGGTTTCTAATCTAGAAACCCTAATAAAACTCCCATAATAAAAGCGCACATTTTCACGTTCACCATAAAAATATGATAACGTTCACGTAAGTACGTTGATGGTTTCCCCTGTGTGATCCAGCAGGGAAGAATTTTTGGGTTAATTTGTTCACGAAATTCCGTGCTTAGATAACGATACCGACTTGCACTAATTAGTCTCTGGGAATTTTTGGCGCCGTAAATTCATCAGATAAGAAATTAAAGTAAACGTAAGAATTATATTAATAATATATCTACAGTATGTTAATTAACGTAACGCTTAAAAATAGTGTTAGTATTTACTAATAGAGTCTCAAAACATACTTATTTTCGTAGAAAAAAAATTATATTACAAGAACTAAAAAATCTAGAAAAAGAACAAATCGTATCTGTATCAATGGCATTACATAATAATAATATTATATGTACATACCTTGTACCGTGTACTGCCGTCAGTATAGATACAAACTAATCTTTATTTCCAAATTTATTTCCAAAATTTTTTTATTTTTTTTTAAGTTTGGTAAATTAAAACAAGTATATCCAAAACATATCTTTGTTGAGGCCCTATTAATGAATACGAACACTAGTTTTAATGACTAGGTTACACATACTGTATATATGTACATATAAAATTGTGTACGTATATATTACTATTACGTTATACAAAGGTACATGCACAAAGTATATAATAAGGTATACATAATATTCTAAAGCATTTCAAGAACATTAATTATTAGAGGCATTACTTACCTAATTGAATTTTACATTTACTGTGAATTTTTATATATTGTTATATTTTACCACGGTCTGATTTTTGTTTCTAATGAATGTAAACAATGACTGAGTTAAGTAAATATATGTAGATATGTATATATTATAATGCTATCTATAATATAATATATTTCTTAACCTTTCTTACAATTCTTTTTGCAATCGACAAGATATACTCCCATAATTTTCCTATATTTGTAATCTTTTATTTACAACAATATTTGTTGTAAATAAATTTATATAGGCTGGTAAGATTTTCAAACTTTCCACATACCTATTTGGTCGCTATGATATAGCATGGAAAGTACACTTATTAGATAATTAAATGAAGCTACCGTTTGCGTCTTACTGGAGTAAAAATATACTTTTAGAAAAAATTCTAAACTTTAAAATAAAATAGTGTCATATAATCAACAGCTACTTGATGATGGAATACAAATGAAAAATGGCCACCATGCAATCCACTATTGTATACCTTATTTAGTAAATGTTGTATTTATTTAATTTAAATTAATAAATTGCTATGGACATAATCAGTTTATTCTATTTAGTTTTAAACTAATCTAAGCTTATACTTATGAATATAAATTATTATGCCAGGATCAAGCCCGCAACTAACGAAATGTGAAATCACAATCATCACATTTGCGAACTGGTGCGTCGGGCGGCCATCGACGCGGCGTCGGCAACCGCATCGTGCGATCCGAAGGCCATAAACGCAGGGCTCACTGTCCACATAACAGCTAGGTAATGGAATTGCGAATTATACTGCCATAAACTTAATACTTACATGTATGATTATACTGATTAAGAACGTTCACATACGTCATAGAATTAGTAGATATTATACATTATACACTTTAATAGGATATAATACAGATACCTAGATAAACGCACCTAATCAAGAACTTCAATTATTATGTTAAAATACATTAAAAAATATCCACGTGTTATGTATACAATGTATATAATTATAAATGTATTTATTTGCATTAATAAACAATAGGTAAAGTATATCTGTTAATATAGAGACAATCCTATATTAGTCAAACATAAATAACTGATCCTTATTAATTTTATTATCATATATATTATTATTATATATTACTATTATCGTAAGGAAAAATATAAATTTAAGTATTTAACTTGAACACACTAGGTATACAGTAGGTATACCTGTGTGTTCTAATATAATATAGTTCTAATAATAATATAAAAACCTGTATAACAACACAAAAACACTTTTGCTCTTCCACAATTAGTTACAATAAATAACTAGGTACTTGACCAGTTTCATCTTTCAACACTTCAGAGTATTTAAAATTATTAAATTTTTCTTGATTCCTTCTCTCGTCTCGTAAATAAATATTTTATAATTTATTGAAAGACTAAATCGGTCAAGTGACTACTAATCTATTATTATTATTGAGACAGGGGCTTTTCAAACAGAAAAACTGTATATAAAACTGTAGCTTTTGTAATGTTTTATGCTTGCCTTTTTTAAGTTCGCTACTAATTCCTGTCAGTGATAAAAATTTTGCTTAGCAGCGATTTTTTTAACCTCTCATAATAAAAAGTGTATTTTCCAAATGAGTTTATATATGAGTGGCTGTAACCACAGATTATGTGCTACAGCGTTTCTTCCTCGATTAACTTATCTAAGAAACTGCAGTTTTATTGAAATGGTATCCAATCAGTAACATATTTATTTATAAGTAGGTATCAATAATATATTAGTTTGTATTTCAGTAACTACCTAATTAGGATTCGAGTACTCAGCACATATTGTGTTCTGCCGTCAGCAGGCGCCTAGACGCCCCTCCATAAAGGTGGATTAATACCACCGAAAGCCCAACTTACTTAATAAATATAAAAGCCTTCTCCGCCCGCGCTCGTAAACCTCCCACTGCGCTCCTCCAAGATTACTTGTATCGCAACCAACCAAATTTGGTCTCCTTGTTCTTATTACAGTCCATTATTGCAGTTGGACAGGGAAGAAGTTTCGTGGCTCATATTATACTAGTCGTGCCATTATCAGCTCTATGTAGATTGCGCGTCGCTCGCTTGCGTTGCTTTCTCCCAGATAAGGTTTTATGGCCACTGGTAGAAAGGATAATGTTCTTCTTTGATGTAAGGATGGAATTGTTGGCCGCTTTCCGGTCGCGCTGTAAAGATAGATAAGGTTTCAGCGTTTTATTTCATGTAAGCCACAGTCGTTTGGCTCGGTAATTTTCTTTGTATGTATTTACGTTCGCGTAGAATTAGATAAAGTTATTGTAGATAGTAACGACGTAACAACATTGCCTGTATACAAAATTGTGGATGGACAAATAAAATAAAAATAATAAGAAACAGGGCAAGTGCTGAAATAAGTCCTTGCTTAATTTTAATGGATATAAAAGTTGTATTTGAATATGCTACTAACTATCTACTGCTAAACATAGACCTCTCCCAGAAAGGGGATTTTGTCAGCAGTTGCCACGCTTGACAGGTGGATTGGCAACCACAATTAGGTCGTGATGACGTTTTAATAGGGACTCAGCTGCCCTTTCCTTGATCATTTACTTCCCTTAGTCGCCTCTTACGACACCAACGAGAATAGGTGACCCATTGGTACCGGGATCACACGGCATGCATATATATATGAAATTAATTATATTATAATTAAAAACATGAAGTGCATTTTAAGTTTGAATTCGTAGCTTTTATTCTAAACACATACTAAAATATCTACCTCTTTAATTATATTAACTACATAACATCGAGTATGTATCAATAACACCTAAATAAATCTGACCACGTGCCTACTTGAGAGATGTTAATTGTATATTATAAAATTAGTTAGTTTAACACAATATTGTCAAATAATTAGCATGGAAAGTTTAATTTTTAGGTTGTAAGACAAATTGAAGCTCAGATATTTGTACCAATTAGATATATAAATAATAATTTTCGGATAGTTAATCTTTATTTAAGTAAGTACCTTAAATAGCTACAAATGTATCTGTATATTTGTATATCAATTAATTTGTTAAATATTTTCTATAATTTTTACCAAACAAAGACTTTGAAGTGACACATATTTTTACCGCTAAATAACTATGCTGGCATGATTGTATTTTATTTTGAAGAGTAGAATATTTACTATGTAGTATAAAGTAATTAAATTACTGAGTACAGATGCATGATATATCACTTAGAACTTGCTTTTCAACGAGAGGTGCCATACGTATCATCGTGTAATCGGTTATGCCCATGGAGCTGTATATATATTGTATTGACAATGACCTCTTTCACAGATAATAATAAACTATACTCAATATATAACTCTTTCCATCAGATGTGCTGTCAACTTGTTATTCCACATTATATATTAAAAAATATTTCTCATTTTTACAGAACGTGATTTACATATGGAATGCGTGAAGAGCCTGTCTACCTAAGCCTTAGCGCACACTACAAAGTTGCTTATAATTTATGGCGGGGCGGTTTATGGGCGATGGGCCAAGTTCGCACATGCGTCGTGTGCGCCGTCGCGACTTGTATCCAACTCATAAATATCCGCTAACCCCTTCAAGGGTCAGGTATGTATCTACAGGCATAAATTTTTTGCTTTTATTTTTGCCAGAAATAAAAATTACGAGCAGAAAGATAAGGAATCTCAGACCCGGCGCACAACAAGTTTGAGGAAATAAAAATGGGGATAAATTATCTCAGTTGTCTCATTTTGTAAGTTGGTAAAACTTATCAATAAGTATTTAGGTAATATTAGTTAGTACCTAAATAGAAAAGTGTTGCGGTACCGAATATAGGTTTCAAAGTAATTCCAATTTGTATAAAAAATTCCACAAATAACAATCTTACATTAGATTCAATAGAACGTCGTTTATCTTAATTAGATTTTAATTCGAATTTCTCATATAAATTTTTAATATCCAATAATATTCCAAGTTAACATTGCAGATTAAACCTATTGCAGAAAAAAATTAGTGTTATAATCAAGTAATCAAGCTAGAAATTCAATAATGGCATACTAAGTTTTTATATAATTTAAAGTTTTCAAATAAGCTTTCAGTATCTATCTCTATGTATGTAAAAATTCCATGTTTTTAAATATTTTTTTTAACTTTTTCCTTTCTTCCTTCCTTTAATTAAAATACCGAGTATCATTATACATGTTCTTTTGTCTATATAATTAATTATCCCTATTTTTTTTGGTTGCCATTTTCGTAATTTATACTTTCTAAATCTATAAATTAATGCGAATTAAGTGTTTGTCTATCTAAATATCACTACATATTAAAAAAACAACAAAGTCTCCCGCCACGTCGATCGCTTATGTTCGCGATAATCTCAAAGATGATTTACGGATGTATAGATTTTCATGAAGTTTTAATTTAGTGTGAATCCTGAAGAAGGGTTAATCGTATAATTCATTAATATTTTGTGTAAACTGATTAATATATAATGACAATTATTAAAAATGTGGGAAAAAATCAAGTCGTCTAAGAACTTTTATCAAAAACGCTGTTTTTGATAAAAGTTTTCATATCTAAAGATATGACAAAATATATGTTTATCTCTTAAAGATAGCTTACTATATCCATTTAATTCGTAATCGACGTAACAAGCTGATGCAAAAAATGTAAGCATATATAATCTACTAACCGTACAAAGCCGGGGCGGGTCGCTAGTGAAATAATTCTTTAAATTAAGTATCGTATAAGCCAAATTAGTTTCGTACGTTTACAAAAGAGTTGTAAATTAATAATGATGTTTCTCTTAGATAAATATACCTATTGTCAAATAATCATATTCAAATTTAAAATATAAAGTATTAAAGTTTTATTATTCTGTATATTAAAGATACATTAAATGATTGATCCCATAAATTGACATGGCAAAGCAGTAACAAAAAATTTAAAAGAACTATGCAACGCTTATTCCAATTAATAAAACGCTTTACGCCTACTTAAAGCAACTAAGTAGTAGTAGAGAAATCACCATAAAAATAACACTTAATTTCAGCTCGCAATTACGACGCCGTTAAAGGGCGGCTGCCTGAGGCCGACATAGCCATTACATTACCTCCGCAGTTACCATACTCACATACTAACTAGCTTATACGTACTTACACTTGGAAGCCGACGGAATCGTAAAATAAGGAACACTTTATGCGCGCAAAGTGAAAAAATCGATGCGTTTTTCTTGCATGTGGGTACACATACTTAATTTTCTCTTCTCTAAGTAGGTGAGTATCTAATTTATTATATGCCTTGCTAGTTTTCATACGCGACTTCATCCACGTGACCGGGATACATTAATTGAACAGGATTAAAAATACCCTATGCCCTTTTCCTATGTAGTGCCTGTATACCCAATTTTATAACTATTGGACAAGTTTAATGGCTTGTTCAATAATTATGAAATGCGTGCATGCGCCAACAGTTAACAAACATACTAACTTACTTTCATATTTATAATATTATTTAGCATAGAGACGTATTTGAAACTGCTTATAAAATAAATAAAATGTTTTTCAGATTTGTAAATACATAGATGATGGCTAAAATTAATCACTTCCAATTCACTAGGATCGAGCCCGCATTTGTTTAATAGGCAAACTCATAGTTGATATAATAGTCACTTAGTTACCCCCCACTGGTTTAATCTCATGGATTATAATTAAACGCACGTGTGGGTTTCATTACTTCCTAATCCAAATTAATTATAATTGTAGAAGTTGGTGGGCGTATTAACAATTACTATGTACATAGTAATTGTAATACAGTATTATTAAAGGTAGTATATATATATAAATACAGATGAAATATTGACATACAATACGAAAATTAATGAATATCAATACCGACAAAAATCTAAACTATAGGCGACGATTACCTTTTTCATCAGCATGATTGCCATTTTAATTTACATAGAAAAAACTATCCAATAATGATTGAGGGGAAAGGGAAATAAATCAATTTAAGAAAAAGAAAACTTGAAATAAATCTTAAAACACCTCATTTTACGTAATGAAATACATCTTGAGCTGCAAAGAATACGAATTGTCTCATTTGCATTTAGCTGAATAAATAGTAGATATAATTAAACAAATTTGTGGAAACACAATAAATGTCACGAAGTTCCCCCTATATACCTAAGGAAATTGATTAAAAACGTGCTCAAGCATTTCAATAAAATAGAATACAGTGTGGGGTCCTGCAATGGGGTGTTGTTTCATTATAATATACAGGGGGAAAATCTACCATCACAAAGGTATCTACCTACTTACAATTAACTATAGGGAAAAGGGAGGCAAGACGGGATGGCGGGCAAGACAGGGTAGCGGTTTTATATACAACATGATACAACTGATCAATCAGAATCCCGCTAGCGTGTAATGATGCACCGCCATAATGCCAATCAGTTTGCGCAGTGACCACCTAGCGACACTGTATAATTCATTCTATAATTGAAAAAAACTGGTTTTTGTTTTAATGTCCTTTTAATTTTTGTGTTTTGTCTGATACGTGCTTGTTGCTAAATGTCACCAGCACAATATACGTATGTATAGTTATTCATATGCGTTAACAATCACGCCAACAAGTAAGCGCTTGTTTGTTTTCATATTACGGCATTATTTTTTTTAATAAATTGTTGAAATTCGTTAAGCGCGAGAGGGTAAGACGAGGTATGGGGTATCCCATACCCCGTCTGACCGAAACCACTCGTGCTACTATGACTACACCAATTATTAATACAGCTGACATATCGCCAGAACAGGGATGTTCGACTTATATACCATGTACACCACAGGAATCAAATTTTACTGTCGCTAGTCCTCAACAAATTATGCTTTTTCCGGCAATCAGAAGAACTATAAGAGTAACGAGAAAGAGGGGGAAAACCGCTATTATTAGCTCATCACCTTACAAACTAGAATTAGAAGAGAAAATTAAAAAGATAAAGCTGGTGGATAATAGTAAAGAAAAAATAAAAACAATAAAAGAAAACACAAATCAAAGATGTATTTAAGAAAAATAAAGTGATCAAAAAGAAAAACTTATAAAATCATCATCGTCGGAAAATAGTGACTCCGAAAATATACCATGTTTATACTGTCAAGGTCGATATTTAGAGTCCAAAGAAGGCTGGGTGGCTTACGCTGCCTGCAAAAAATGGGCACATCGCAGCTGTGCTGGAATCGAAGATGAGGATGAGGAAACGACATAAATGTCATAACATAAACGTGTGAAGTATGTCAGTAACCATAAGTTGACAGCTCACCAGCACAGCTTCGATGTACCCATTACCCCATCCATCCTATTACCCCATCTTGCCTCTTAGAGGTACCCCATCTTACCTTTATTACCTAGGGGGCAAGATAGGGAAGTATGACTTTATGCATATTTTAATTTTTTTTTATTCAATTATTAAACAAGAGTTACAAATAAGTACAAATTATTAAAGACAGATTATTAAAGAGCAATTAATATTATTAAAATTAAAAAAAAAAACCTAGAAAAGATTAACAGACTTAATTTTATTAGACTTCAAACCTAAAGTACCCCGTCATGCCCACCTTTCCCCTACTCCTACCTATTTATTTGTATAAGTAGGTATTTATTTATTGGATTTTTTTTTCAATTTACAAGATATGTCGATAAATATTTTCTTAGTGCTGATGTTACAATATATATGTTACAACTTTATACCTGTTACACTATTAGAAAATAAAAAATACAAAAAATACCTTTGTCAGCTTTCATAACTTGTCCTATGTTTCATTCAAGCTGGCTTAATACATGTATAATATAGTAATTACCAATATAAGCTTACGTTCATCATGCTCAGTATTATATTATCTGTGACCATGCATTAAACATGTTTAAATTATTATACCTATCTGTTACTGTAAAAACCAGAATGACGGTAATTTTTTTTTTTATATTTACGTCAGAGATGTGGTAAATGTGTGAGCTTCTCGTTGCCTTAATACATCTCTGAAACCTAACTGCGGTTGCTTACCCGCTTGCCTAGCGTGGCAACTACTGGCAAAACCCCCTAAGTGGGAGGCTTATGTTCAGTAATGGCCGGTTGAACGCTGATATGATGATTCTCGTTGTCAGTGAAGTAGGTCAAGTTAGGTTATAGTTTGGTGAAAGACTCAAAAATAATCTTTTTCTTTTTTAATTCTTACATTTACCAACTTGAGTAGGATTTACTAACATGAGTAAATGCTAAGATTTACAATTAAAATCTAAAATTTACTGATCTATGGACTTTTACATTAACGTATCACATACTTGTAACAAATTAGAAACCTCCTACTTTACAGAGTCTGTAAATATAATATTATAGTCGTAAAAACATTGTCTATGCATCACGCAGCTAAACATTTTTTTCCATATCATTAAACAGCTCATAAATTTCTGCAAGCAGTAAATTAAAATCTTATGTAGTACTTGAAGAGTAGTGGTCATACACCCCTCTAATGCGATCAAATAACGAAAAGTAACGACGCCAATAACGGGACCAATAAAGTTTGTGTCAACTCGACTTGCAGAAAATATCACTTGAGTGATTTTTACCGCGGAGTATTTACTACTGGTAAATTATTGTTTTTATAATAAATTGTAATAAATACTTAGATATACCCATATAGATTCAGGAATATCAAATAAAACCAAAATTTTTTGTCCTTTAGTTTAGAGGTTGAGTAATGACATAGATTTTATATTGTATTGTTATAAGAATATTCTGATTACAAAGATATATATACTGACAATTATAATTTTTATAGCTATATAAAAAAATTTTGCTACAAACAACATACATCAAATTATATATCTTTATAACTTATAACAACATAAATACAAGTGTAGTGTGTAAAAGTAAAATTAAATAAAGCAGTATTGGTATATAATAATCGATCACGTGAGCAAGCTGTTTAAATTAACTATTTTCTTTAATATTTTTTTATTCCTATCTTCCAGAAATATTAAATAATAATAGATATTACCATATCAACATTTAGGAGAATGTAATATATCTTGTCTATGAAAATAAGTAGTTAGTATCTAAAACACTTTATGTTTATAGATGTCTCTACACATATAATTATTATTAACAATAAAATTTTCTCTTTTTCAGATTTTACAGTCAATACACCGTAGCAGCGAGATTGCCCCTGCTCTTTACCATAACAGAACGATTTTCCCTATCCTTTGTCCTTATTTTACATTCACAACACACAGTTCCTGCCTTTCCTCACCACGCGCTGTACAATCTCTCATTCACACTAATAAGAAATACATTCTCCATTCCATTCCCACAATCGTAAATATGGATGCTGCGTAGTGAACGCGAGAACGTGGGGGTTGGGGACGCAGCGTGTTTCCGGAGGGTAAAATGGGGTGCTTACTAAGTTTAAAATGTGACAAAGTTTTATCAAATTTCAGAGGGGTTCGATAAGCACAATTTCAACTTTTGCTCTTAAATTAAACAACCAGAAAGTTGAAGATTAGTTTTAATTATGTAGTCAAATGTCTTTACCGTCATCTATTACCCTTTTATATGCCTAAGCTGAATATTCAATGAATTGCCCAGTCTTAATAACAGTATTATAAATATTTTAAAAGATGGTAAGTTCTTACATACATTTAAACATTTTATTCATATTACTAGTTTCAAATTATAATAATTGGAAACCAGTAATATAAATTTTAATTTTTAAACTAACTTTTACCCATGACTTCGTCCATGTTATTGGGATGTGTTAACTGACCGAGATAAAATAAACTATAATAGCTTATAGAATATAAAATTCCATTCTATATAGAACGTGCATACCAAATTTCATAATGATTGATTAAGCCGTTATGGCACTATAAGGTAACAAACAAACCAACAAACTCTTACGTTTATAATATTAGTAAGGATTTAATATACGTAAGATTATAAGAAAGAGTTATCGGTAGCTAAGACTGGGTCGTGTGGTCCTAGCATATACTCGTATAGTAAGTAAGTAACCCCTTCCTTTCTCGTGGGTGTCGTAAGAGGCGACTAATGAAGGGCCGGAAATGGGGTGTAACGTCCCTCTTAAAAGATCTCTAAAGCCTAACTGCGGCTGCAAACCCGCCTGCCAACCATGGCAAGTATTGGAAGAACCCCTCCAAGGGGAAGGCTTATATTCAGCAGTAGACAGTTAAAGACTGATATGATGATCACGATGAAGATTGGGCCATAACTCTTTTATATAGAACAGAAATTTTATAGAAATCTAGATATTTATATTAAATTAACAATCCGGCTCAGCTTCATATGAATATATAGTATTTTCGAAAATAATAAATAGCTTATATTACTCACTGGTAACGTAGTTTCCTATAGGTGAAAGAATTTTTAAAATGAATAGTTTTTAACTTTATCCATTACAAATAAACAAACAATTAAATCTTTCCTTTTTAATATTAGAATAGATTAATATGCCGCATTAAATGAAAAACTAGCACGAAAACGTTAGGAAAATAATTTCACGGCGTGAAGTTATTTACTCTTACACATATAAGTTCGTGCTCAAATATTTATATCATCTACAATTATTTATAACAGTTAGTTACATATATCCTACAACATGTTGATAATTAAAGATTGTGTCCCACAAAAAACCGACTTCAATTGTGACAAAAACTAAAATACTAAACTGTTTTTGATAAAATGTCTATTAACCCAATCTGTAAGTATATTCTTTTAAACAAAAAAAAAATCCAAATCAGTGTAGACCTGACGGAGTTTTGAGGTAATAACATAAAAAATACAACTTCCTTCTTAAAGTCATTTGAAAAACATATCAGTCTATTTTCCCAGTAAACTGTCTCATATATCAATATTCTACTATAATAACTTAGAGAGGTATCTACTAAATACTTTAATTTTATAGTGAGAGAACACAGAAGCCCGCATTTCCTCTGCCATTACGGCTTGATTAGCGACCACTGGGGGATTTAATGATTACTTTCAGCCAGTAATTATACCAACCACTCTAAGCCGAAGTTATGGGCACAGTAATAGGTAACCCGTAATGAGTCTTGAGCTGCTGTTTGTTTATGATCCAACGACAAATAGGTATGCATAGTTTAGGCTTTGAACTAAATAAGTAATAAAATCTAGTTCAATATTACTCATATTTTTGCAATTTCAAAAAATATATTTTCCATTCTATTGTATGTTTTTTTTTTGTGTGTGTATTATGTGATATATTTTTTTGCTAATTCAAATCCGAATTTACATACTTTAATACATCGATAATTATTTTTGCAATTTATACTGTTTACTCCCATATTGATTCCATATTTTTGTCACAATTGAAATGGCTGTTTTTTTTGGGCAGCAAAACTTTAAATTATTTACAAAAAAATTTTAGAGAAAATAAAAGAAAATAATATTATGTATATACTGTACGTATAAACTATGTGTTACAAAAAGATTACATAGTATATGGTAATATTAGTTACGTATGAATAAGAAATTAGGGTCTATGTTTAGAAATTCTAATCATAGACCTTAATTTCTTATTTAAATGAGATTTGTCTTAATGGGGTTCTAAAATTGATGTACCCTCACCCTTCCGATGACCATAACTTGACCGTCTAATTCTAATGGTAAAAGTAGGGGAAGTGGCACCCCTTAATACTGTGTATGAACCGGAAATCACGTACTATGCACCCCTGTGATTTATTTTAAGGGTTTCGCCCAAGACGCCATATTAAATTAAATAGAAACTGCATTTGTGCGATAAGTAAAGAACTCTAATATTATTTACTGCAGCAACTTTAAATAAAATTTGCTGCAGTAAATAATATTAGAAAATTACATAATTTCGTATATGCGTGTCACAGCATACCTAATATCTGAAAATATACTTTGTAATCTTTTTTACCAAATTGATTACGTAATCACGCAGTTTTATATAAAAATAACAAAAATGATAATACAATTTGATTAGAGTCATAGTGTCTACTCTATGCAATTAACTTTCGACTCAGTATATCTATTACATAAATATTCACTTTAAGTAGAGGCAGAACCGACAAAATGACGTACATTTTGTAAAATCTTACAGCTACATAATCTATTAGTGGATATGTGCAATGAGGGAGATCCGTAGATGAGTTTCAATTTGTAGCACAGTCTATCCAGTATTGTACTTAGTAGGGATTCCAATCATATATATTTTCGTGGATGTCTCCTAATTTAGAAGAGATCTAATTAATACTACTAACAGGTAAATAATTGTTCTTTATTACACACTTGTCAAACTCTTTTATATCGATTTTATATTAATTTTAAATGGTGCATAAATGTTTTATTGTATCTTCCGTCAACGTTCTTATTAGTTATTATAAAAATCGTCTATGTCATTTTTTATCTCAAGTAGGTACCATGTATGTATATTACATATTAACGATTAATTGACCCATTAAGGGACCAAGAGGTAACAAACAGACAAACTCAATTTAACCATTCACATTTATAATATTGTAGATTGTATGTATTAATAAACCTACAATCCAAAATTGGTTTGGGATCTCTGACAGGAGAATATTCCATAAAGAAAGTAGAAATTCAAAAAAAGTGATGGCATATCTAAATAACACAATATAAATTGACATAAATTAAGGTCTGATATAAACTCATCTGAATTCTGACGATTCAATTCAAGTATCCTCCATCATCTTACGTATACATAGCTATGTTATATACCAGAGGGAGACTTTGTACAAAAGTCGTTTGCTTAAGTACCTCTGTCCCATTCGTGTTTCAACCGTAAAGCAGCTATGTTTGCATGGCTGTGTTTCGGTTTAAAGGGTGAGATATGGCGTGAATTTACAGGGTACAGAGGTATAACACCTGAGTCCTCAGGAATGGCAACGCATGGGGGGTATCATGGGCGAAACAGTATACTCTGTTATGTCCATGGTACTGCTCATGTCTCTAGGCAACGGTTACCACTTTCCATTAGGTGGGCCGTCAACTTGTTTGCCATTCTAAGTTGTATCCATAAATATTTATTTATGCAGAATCTTAGTACTTTTTAGTAGACTGCAAAAAGAAATGAGGAAGATAGAAGTACCTAACTATGCAAATCTTCGTCAATTCTGAATTGAATTTTATTTCGATAAAGTTTATGATTGCCTGACCTTACTTAATATACATGTTTAACTTAAATATAAATTTCAAGTTGTTAATTCACTTCATATCTATGTTTATATGTGGTATTCCCAATATTCACGTTACATTGTGTTCAAAGATTTATTGAGTCAAATCTTCCTAACAATGAGTCTTTTACACAATAATTCACTAGATTCCCTGACCTGAGTTACTATAATATAAATACGGATCATATGATAACTTAAATATACATGTATTAAACAAAATATAAGAGTCTAAATGAAAATTTCGAGTTGTATAAAATATAGCGTCGATGGAACTCCTTGTCGTATAATTGTCCTGATTTAACGACTTTATATGTGGTATTCCGAACTTTAAGAATAAGCCGTTCGCGATGTCGGTATTGGTGCTCTTACATAAAGGATTTATAGCACGTTACATTGTGTTCGTCGCACTATAGAGGTATACCTCGCACCCAGCGACTACCAAATGAACTTCATTTTATGTTATTTCGCCACAATAGTCTCTACCTATGTATTCCAGTTAAACATAAAAATACATTTCTTTGTAGATACATTACATAAAAAAAAAATAAGGAAACACTTTGATATAATCATGACCAACTATGGGATGCTCCCGATTAAACGATTTTATTTCAATTACAAAGTATGAGCATTTTTATAAATGAGGAAATATCATCAAAGCCTAACAGCAGTTGCCACTCCGCTTGCCAAGCATAGCAACTACTGGCAACATCAGTATACCTACCACCAATAAAGCGAGGCCTATGTTCAGCTTGATATGATATGACGATATAATAATGAATGAGGAATATTAACATTGTAATTATTAGATATAATTTTCCTACATCATTCTACATCTATCATTTTAAGTTATAAATAGTTAATAATTAGGTTAATAGATATACCGGATGGAATCAAAATAATTAACCATACGTACGTAAACAATATACCTATTAGAACAGAAATTTGGTATTAAAAAAATTCTAAAACGACATAAATTGTTGAGCCTCCTATACTCACTAATTGAACAGCTGGCGTTATCTTGGTAGGTATTATTATATATTTATTTATTTATATTTATTGTGAGGTCATAAAAATAAAGAATATGACTAGATTTAGATTATTTACTTACTCTTATGGTGAGGTATTTCATTTTTTGTTTGTTTTTCAAATCAATATGAGTTATTTAGCAAAAATGGGTAAAAGGATGTTAAATATTTTCAAATACCTATTTCCTGTATTTTGTCCAACATCATACGCGTGAATGAGTGCTG